AGCCACGGTGCGCGACGAGACGAGACGAGACGACCTTCTTTTCTTTCGCAGGAAAGCCAGCCATCTCTTTCGTTTCAAGCTCGTTCGCTTTTTGCCCAGAGTTCTTCGGCGTCTCTCCTACCTCACGCGGCCCGCTCTCCTCCGCCACCATGGGATCATTGGCCACCTTGAAAAACTGCCTGACGCGGGACTGTATATCGCGGCTGGCTAATCTAAAAATACTAAAGTCGACCTTTCCCGCGGCAAGAGTGATGGCCCCGGACGACTGCTAAATCAACGGCGAGATTGAGATGCAAATGCAACCTCAACCTTCTCTTTCTCGCGGCCTTCTCTCTCCTCTTCGTCCACGCGAAAGAGCGACAGAGAAGGGAGAGAAAGTTTACGAGAGAAAGAGACCAGCCCAGCGGTCCCATCGCTCCAACGACTTACACGTCGCTGGAAGCTCTCTGTCGCCGATCGAAACCGGAGCGAGGTGGTACTATTCGTGCCCCGAAAGAGAAATGAAAAGAGATGGAAGCAATTCGCAATACTGTAATTAACATTCACAACGTCCTCGTTGATACATTCGCTATTGACGAGAATGGCCAATCGTGCGTGCAAAACGCGTAATTCAAACGCCGATAATTCAATCCCATCGGGGATCGTCGTAACTCGCCTCCCCTCCACTCTTTCCTTCCTTCTCGGCTTTCGTAGGGACGCGTCCACGATGGGCGAAATAACTTTATTGAATTTTGCGCGGTTCGCCGATCTCGCAATAATTCATGCGCGATGCGCTTGCTTGCGGAGCGTGCGCCCGCTCGGACCCGCCTCGTATCGCGGCGCACAATCTGCCTTGGGTGAACCACGACGAAGCGTGCCGCAGCGTGGTGCTCGCTTACGTACGAGCGCGCACGCGCGACTCCCTCCTCCGCGGAAATAAGTATAAATCATGCGGCAATATCTGCGGCTGTGTTCGCGTCGCTGTGTCATCGGCGCCATGGCCCTTCCCCTGCCTCGTTTTACCCTCTCGCGAAGAAATTCAAGACGGAGACGAGCTTTCGAGGAAGCTGTTTCTTTCGCACTCAGCTGAAAGAGATTTCAGCAACTTTAGATGACAGTTGAAAATTTCGCCAGAGATCCGGCTGCTGCCATCCGGAAAAATTGGAAAAGCAGGGAAAGCAAATTTTTCCTGCGTCACGTAAGAATTTTATTCAGGAGTTTTGACTTCTGGCTCTCGTTGACTGATTGACGAACTCGGTGACGGGCAGCTCGTTCATGTTCCCTTCTTTCACGGGCAACCATTTGCACTCCATTTCCTCGATCGACTGAATCGAAAGGATCGTAAGGATTTCAATCGTTATTCGATGTTGGCTACGCGATTCAACGCGGAACTAACAGTTTCGTACACGGTCCCGTTCTTGTCCATTTTGCAAATTTCGTATTTGAACAGGATGGTGTTCGATTTCTCACCGACGTAGAAGACTCTCTCGCGATTGTTCCTCCTCACGTGAATGTCGAACTCGCCCGCAACGAACACTCCGGTAATCAGACCGAACCAATCCGCCGTTGCGAGGTCTGAAACGTAGGAATCGTGCATCTAAATGCTGCGACAGAATCTGTTTTCGTCGTGTTTCGACGTGATTTCTCCGTGGCGTCGTACCTTCGTGAGTCGAGCGATCTATGGTCATCTCTCCCTCGATCGACAGGTCCGGCACCTTATCCAGGAAATGGCAATCGAAAGCTCTGAAGTGCAGCTCCTGCTTGCTACCTTCGAGTATCACCTTTGTGACAATCGTGACACGTTTTTTGCATGAAGTTTAGAAGTTTCTTCACTCGTCACAGAAAAGAGAAAGAAACGAGACTTAATTACCCGAAAATCCCTTTCATCGCCGGTAGTCTTGATCGTTGGAAGATCTTTATCCAGCCACCTGGCGTTGCTTTCCTCGTGTACGAGGAAGTCGCGAATCGGACCGAGCAGTTTCAATTGCGGAACGGCGCAGAAGCATTGCACCTGCAACGTGCAATCGCGAAACGATTAAACGAATAAAATGTCCCTTCGTTATCGATCACGCGCGTTTCCGTCAAATTCACCTGAGAAGATTCCCGAACGAAAATGTGACCGATCTGATAGACCTTCGTATCGATGACATAGGGAACGGCCTCGTATCCTGACCCAACGATGTGCTCGACAACGAAAGGTTTCAGGATGCACCAACTCTTTGCTATATTCAAATCCTTGGAAATGTGAAATCTATGACCTCTCTTCAGCAAATGAGCCTGCGACTCTCTGGACATTTCGAGGCCTACGAGTGAGAATCATGGTCGATAGG